CGTCGCAAAGACATGGTATGACGGTTTGACCTCTGTTCAACGAACCTGGCACGAGTGGAAAGTGGAAATGAAAAAGGCCTTTCCGTCGGCATCGAGTTTTCAACACGTCTTCAGGGACATGGAGAAAAGAAAGAAAGGGCGCCACGAGACCATCGAAGCGTACTTTTATGACAAGCTGGCGGAAGCACGACGCTGCAACCTGGATGACGGGACGTGCATCGAGTACCTGATCACTGGACTAGAAGACGCAGATTTAGTGCGGTCTCTGAGCGTACGAGATTACGCCACCCCAGACGAGCTACTTCGGTGCATGAAGCGACTGCATGAACGAGTCGATGTGATCAAGCAGACTCGGGCCAAAACCCTCCATCAACCGCCGACTGGTCAACGTCAAAATCGCGGTTTAGACAACAACGAGCCGACGACCAGGGCTCCACGAAAAAGATTCAACAAAACAGGCGAGCCACTTTGTTTTAATTGCTCGACATACGGACATTTCTCGGCTGCATGCCCGAAACCTCAGAGAAAACCAAGATGCACCAATTGTGGGAAATCTGGTCACGAGACGAAAGACTGCTTTCAAAAAAGAAACTCAACGAACACGAGTGACAAGAAAGCAAATGTTCTAACCCAACAAGGTAACAAGACGTGGGACTGCATGGCGCCAAACGAGAAGTATTTCATGCAGGCAATTCTAAACGACAGGCCAATCAAAGCTTTCGCCGACATGGGAAGCCAGTGCGTAACGTTACGAGAAAGCGAAGCGCAGCTGATGAACGTGAACTACGAACCGTTGAATCATCCATTCACAATCAACGGGTTTGGCTCTGGAAAATGGATGCCTTTAGGGAGTTTCCAAGCAACATTGACGGTCGCCAAGCCAAGGCCAACGTTAAGGTGTACGTGGTGCGCGACGCAGTGCAGATTGTTCCGCTGCTTGTCGGACAGCCTTTTACTGAACAACCGCATGTTACGGTGGTACGTCGCAAGAACACCCTACGCATTTTCGAAGAGTGTGACACGTCTGATGATGAGGACGGGACTTTGGCCAATCTTAAGATACCGGTCCTGCCTCCACGACGCGTAAGCCTATGGGTCAAAGAAGCGGTCGTAATCCCTCCAAGCTACGTCGGGATTATCGCGCTCGGCTCCGGAGAAGGGACACAGAGAACCCACGGAGACATCTTTATTGATAGCAGTATCCACGAATCGCGTGGGCATTACATCCAGACCTGTGTTTTGAGAAAAGACGAACTGGGAGAACTGTATATCCCCGTAACTAACGTATCGGCTACGCCGCTGGTCCTCGCTGAAAACGAACAGATCGCTAGAGGAACATGGTGCACGGAAGAAGACGCGAACACCAACCTCGACGCGTACGTAAACTACAGCGAAAGAAAGCCGACAACCTTGATTGCAGCAGAGGACGTAGATGTCAGTCCATCTATTTCTGACTCACAAAAGAAAGCCCTCGTCACCCCGATTAATGACTACAGCGACTGCTTCGCTACATCCCTATCGGAATTGGGGTGCCCGAAGGCAACAAAGACGAAGCACATTGACGCGCTCAGTAAGGCTCCTGCATCGAGACCTGAAGAAATGGATATCGCAACGTGCGAGTTGCGGGAGCTGCGCCCTAAATACCGAGGCCCGTATATCGTTGTAGAAAAGGTACCTCCCGATAGGTATAAAGTGAAAGATCTACCGGAAACCCAACGGTCGCAACGTTTCTACGAAGGTGTTGCCGCTGTTGACCAGATGAAGCGCTTCACAGCCAGCGCTGAGAGTAGCACCGAGAGCAGCGACGACGGCCTGTCAACGGAAGCAGAGAGCGACACAGATATAGCAGAGGTAGAACCTCAGCAAGAGCTAGCGTGAGTTGGATGATCACTTCGCCGAAACGTTCCAAGTTCCGGCGACGAGAGGACCCAGCCGGGGCGACTGGGATGGAGGATGGCCGTGTTGTCAGCGACAGGAGCCGCCGGCACGTGTGCGCGAGAACCGCGAACGCATGCCGCAACCGGTCCACGCGAAGTGGTATCATCGGCGTGTGACGTCACCTGATAGGCTGTGTGTGGACAACGAGGAAGAGGAGGTAGACTCGAGATGAACGAGATTCGGAAGGTAGGTACCCGTCTCGGTGACGAACGGGTATCGTCGAAATAAACCGCTTGTTTTTATAAGAAAACGAAAAACGCAACGTCTGTGTGACTATATATATATATATATATAAATAAATATATATATATATATATCAGGGTGTCGAACCGGAACCGAACCGAACCGAAAACCGGAACCGAACCGGTATTTTTTCCGGAACTGAACCCGAACCCGAACCGTTATATTGTTATCGCGATGAACCCGAACCGGAACTGAACCGGAAAAAAAATAACGGTTACCGGCTCATGTCAAAACGGTTCGGCCACGCGCTGTTGACAATGAATGTGCTATCAATGCCATTTGTTTTTTAAGTGCCGTCAACTGACACACACCTCGCTTACATATTTTTCTTCTCCACTCAGTCTTAGGAATATAAACGCTGCATCCATGAATCTTGACATAGGAACCAGTATTGCGCTGGTCGCGGCTTGCACGGATAAAAGTAAATTGAAAGGCTGTGCAAAAAAAAAAAAAAAAAAAATCGCGTCACGGGATTTTATTTTCCTAGAATCTCGTAAATCCTAAATGCTGCTGTGTGCTCATTTCATAACACGTTTCTAGAACGCGCGAGTTCTTGAAGCTTGCTTCCATCGGAATGAGAAAAGAAAAGGCTGTGGAGTTTGATAATAATGCATCCGGTTTCGTATAGGCACTTAGAAGCTAATATATTTCTAAGACAGCGAACTCTTCTATTTTAATATTTATCCTATTACGTCCTTCTGGCGTTGCGTTCGGTGAAGTGTTTTTCATATTCCGTATCTTGTTTAATGAAAACTTCTTTAAGGGTCTAATTTGAGTTACCGAAGGCTAGTTCTAATAAAGAAAGCTGTATTTTCTCCCCACTGTTCCTTCAATTGCTTACACGCCGAGGTGGCGGGATAGTTAGCGAGTTCTAATTGTAAGTGGGTTTGTAAGGAGGTCGCGGATTTTACAGCCACTGCGTCGGACCCAATTAGATGAAGTCCGAATGCGTAAACGTCGGTGAGGTAACCTTTGAGTGCACATAAAGAAACCATTCCTGGTAGAAATCCCTGAGCCTTACACTACGATGTATCCCGTTTCGTATCCCTGAACCGGTTCGCGAACCGTTTCGCGGATCGAATTAATCGAACCGGAACTGAACCGGAACAAAATAAATTTACCTGAACCTGAACCGTAACCGAACCCGTATTTTTTTCGGTTCGACACAGTGGGAGGATTTCTGGAGCACAAACGAGCACGTACCACGTGACACTACGCGTCGTACCGCGTTCCACGCGGCGGCGTGTGTTTCCAGAACACCTCCGATTGGATACATTTCGTTTCTTGTGCATTAATAAGACAGGTAGGAAACGCCAGAAAGCCAAGGTGGGAGTGGTGTAGTGGTTAGCACACCCGACCGGACATTGGGAGTCCCAGAGTTCAAATCCTGGCTCCGCCGTTTTTTGGCTTTCGGCGGGTTCCTGAAAACTTGGATTCTTTAATTCATTGGATTAAGTACGGTTCATTCATCTGCACATATTCGTTCATATCCTCCTCGGAGACCACGTACGATGACGTGAAGTGCCCGTGTTGTATATATATATATATATATATATATATATATATATATAGTGTGTCGAACCGAAAAAAATACATATATATATATATATATATATGTACTATTGTGCCTCCACTGATGTCTTCGCGAGTAAAACTTATATATATATATATACAGGGTGTTTCTTTATTCTTACACATTTGTTAAAAAAAAAAAAAAAAACGTGAAAGCTACACTAATGCGGTTTGTGCAGGTGGGTCATACGGCCTGGCGGACACTGTGTGGGTGGGTAATCTTTGCGATAAGTTGGCTAATTAATTAAAAAAATTTAATTAACTTTTTAATTACTGTAAAGAAACATACGGTTTCAATTAGAAACTTGTAGAGCATCATCGAATACCACTGAATCAACTGCTTTTGGAAGGATATAACGCCGGGGAAGCATTTTACGGCATTCTGTAAAAGCGTTCCATTTGGATGCGTTTCTAGATTTCGGTTTTTATCGGATTGCATCACCGCGCCCGCGGTCCTGCTCCCCAGTGGCTGAGACGCACAACACACGTGCGTACTTCCCTCCATTCTACGAGGGAGGCGAGGGGGTGGCTTTGCACCGCGACCACTGGGGACCAGGACCGCGGGCGCAAAGATGCGCTCCGATAAGAAACCGAAATCTAGAAACGTCCATATGAAGCGTTTTTACTGAACGCCGTAAAATGCTGCCCCGGCGTTATATCCTGCTAAAAATAGTTGATTTAGGGGTTTTCGATGATGCTCAGCAAGTTTCTAATTGGAACCAGATGTCTATTTGGATTTGGTGCGTTTGCATTTGCATTCGGTGGTGTCAATGCATTTGCATTGACATGCATTTTGTGGTCTCAATCAATGGCCGCCGGTGGCGACACTCGGCCATAGCTGCCGAGGCCGCGGTCCGCGATCCAGCCTGTCACTAAGCACGCACGATATAGACGTTTCGAAGAATGTCTGCCATACCGGACGTTCAGCTTTCGTTCGCTCTTATTCCGTCTGCTTCACTTCATCATTACTATAACAGGCAAGGTTATTGGCATTACAGATTGTACTGCGCCCTTCTTCCCAGCATTAGCATTTGTGGAGGCTCGTCAATGCCCGTTTCAGTGGCTCAGTATCTCGATAAAACAAGAGGTCAGCAATGTCGGATATAACCTGGCGCGTGTTGAAGGCGTCTATACTGGCTCTGAAACAGAGCTCGAGCGCCAGAGGCATGCCAGGGAACGAGCGTCGCGAGCACTTTCAGACCGCGTGTTTTTCATTCGACTCTACGCTTTGCCCAGAGGAGCTCAAGATGAAGGACCCTTCTCTTCTGACCCGAGACCGCATCGCCAACGCCCCGACTGCCCCGTTGGACACAGCGCTTGTTTTCGGACACGGCACTTTCCAACGACTGGCATTGCTCTGCGCCACGCTTTCCATTTTCATCTCAGTAAGCAACGGTCTCGCCGCCGTGGTATTCGCACGGCCCGTGGAACACTGGTGCAAACCACCGCCTGAGCTTGCTTTCATGCAGACCGACGTCTGGAAGAATCAGAGCATCCCCGTGGAACCAGACGGCACGTTCAGCAAATGCACCCGCTACGAGCCTCTAGTGAACGCGGGAAATGCCACGGAGAACCGGACCGTGGTCTTCTGCGACGAGTGGAACTACGACCTGGCAACCGCGGGGAAGTCCATCGTCAGCGAGTGGAACCTTGTTTGCCAGAGACACTGGCTCCTTTTGCTCCATTCGCTCGTATACTACGGAGGAGCCATCGCCGTGAGCCTGATCGGGAGCTTCGGGGACAGCCTTGGCCGTAAACCTGTCTTCATGGTCGCGCTGTTACTTCAAGTCGCCTCCGGCACGGCCACAATCTTCTCCAACACGGTTGTCACGTTTATCATCTTGCGCTTTCTGACATCGGTGACATCTTTGATGGTTATGAGCATGGCGTCCGTTCTGCTGTTCGAGGTGACGAAGACAACGCATCGCGTCGTCTTCTGCGCCTTTGCCGTCTCATGCACATGTGCGGCGCTGCCACTGTTTCATTTCTTCTTACTGGCGGTAGGTGGACACTGGAGGATGGCTCAGGCGATACTTATGGTGCCGACGTGCCTCCTCCTGTTCGCCTCCTACGCCACTGAAGAGTCTCCTTGTTGGCTGCTGGGCTTGGGCGACGTCGAAGGCACCGAGCGCGCCGTGATATCGGCTGCCAGGGTCAATGGCTATCCCTTGGACGACGTGAAGGCCAAGATGAATAAGATTAAGTACGAGACGTTGCGGAGGGGCAACACGCAAACGAACGTTCAACAATCGAGCACCCTTGACCTTGTGCTGAACAGCTCTCTGCGTTTATGATCCGTCGTCCTTTATTCGTGTACGCTCATCACGATTCTTCACTACTACGACACCTATTTTGACAAGAATTTGTTAGAAAACCGGACGGGGCATATAACCCTAATAGTGGCGCGTCTACCTGTCTCAACAGCTTTCATGTATGTTCTGCACTACATGAGCCGGCGCAATATACTTTGCGGCACCATGTTACACATGTCGGTCGTGCTAGGCTTTCAGGCTTGGCTGGTTTGGCAGAAGGACGACAGCATCCAGCTTATTGTCACAATTATCATTAAGGGAATTGTTCTGGACATGATATCAGTGGCGATGTTCGCTTATTTGTTGGAAATATTCCCCACCGTGCTACGTGCCACGAGCTTTGCTTTAGGCTCCATGTTCGGTAGGAGCGGAGCATTGCTATTGCTCTTGGTAAGGGGGCCCAACCCGCCAATTAATCGAGCTCTTGCCATGGCGGTAAGCGCGGCGATATTTACTCTGATCGGTTTAGCTTTTCTTACTTTACCCGAAACGACGAAGGTAATGGCCTCCAACACCATTCGCGAGACAGAACTTGAGGACATGTGGCAGGTGCCTGCCAAAGAAGACTTTACGCGTCTCAGAACTATTTCTTCGCGTCCAGTTGTTTCTAAGAAATCCTAGACGCATTTTGTTCTATTAACGCTGCTTTACATGATGGGACGTTTTATAAAAGAAGAACGTGCAATATGTCAGTAGCGTCATCTTCTATACACGTCTCCCCTAATCCCCAAGTGCACTGCTCATGCATCATACAAAAAACTGTGTTCGTTTCAGACACAATGTCAGAAATCCCTGGGTACACGCCTGAAAGGTGTTTGAAAAATGTTCTTTATATATATATATATATATATATATATATATATATATATATATATATATATATATATATATATATATATATATGAACGCTTTGAACACGTCTGTAGTAGGGAGTTTCCCAGGAACTGAAATTAGGACGGTGCCTAAATTTTTATGGGGGGGGGGGGGGGGGGGTTAGGGGTGGCACTGAGGATAGAGGAGTCGTTCCGAAATAAGAGGGTACCTCTAGAAAAAGAAAGGGGGGGTCTACACCCCCTAGAGGGTGTGTAGGAGAATCACTGGTCTGTAGACGGTTTTAATGAGACAGCATTAACGATACCATGAAGCGGAGCCGGCGGCGTCTGTAATGTAAAGAAAAAAAAAACGCTAAAGAAATGCGTATTCTCTCACTGGCTGAGCAAAACGGCTCATATTGCGAATTCGGTGGTGAATTGCCGGCGAGCCCTTGGAGGTGGCACCAACGACCAAAAATGCGCCAGTGGTGCACCATGTAACCCTCTTCACCCGAACACAAAGCGCCGGCAACTGGCGTTTTTATTTACCTGGGTCGCGCGTGAGCTTTCTTAATTTCTTCTTCGGTTATTCTGTGGTACAATAAGAACGCTGTATGTGTCAACAATATAAAATCTGACCCCTTGAGATGTGTGTAAACACATGCGGCTTCAGAATAGTTTTCGAATTATTAACATTACCACGGTCCTCACAGCTTGGAGAATCTTAAATTATAAAGTTAAAGGAAAGGCAGATTAATAAATCGGTGTGGGGCTGTCCGCACACGCGTGAAATTTCTATTACCAGTGTTTGGATTTCCAAAGAACTGTCGCCATATTACAAGGGTCCCATGGAGGCTTGCCAGCGTCGATTTTCATATTTTGTTTATCGCCATTGCCTTTTTTGGAAACCTCAGTTTTTTTTCATTGCGCCCACTCCCCTTGAAATTGATATGAGTATTCCATATCGAACTGCATCACTATACACACACTCCTTCTTTTTAAGCTGCGTAATAACGTGTTATTACACAGTTGTAAAACAAAGTAATATATGATGCAGCCTGTGTCTCAGAGAAAACTGACCTTGCCCAAGCTCAAAAAATTCTTCCAAAACTATTGGTTTTCTTTGAAACATAATTATCTTCGTTGTTTTCGCTATCTTGTCTCGGACCACAAATGGGTGTTGTCTGTCTCGGTTACTTCGTTCGCCACTCGAACTTACTATTCGCCGCTTTCGGCAATCATTGTTTCGTTTGGTTCCCTTTTCCCTATTGGATCTCACGATACCGGACACAGTGTGGGGGCAAGCTGCCCGACCTCTTGAAGATCGGGCAAAAATTCTGCTGGTAAATTCCCGCACGCGCCTGAGAAGCGCCACCCGAACAGCTTGCACCCGCCAGCCTTTAACCACGCGAACGGCCTTGCCGAAGATTGTGGTCGGTTTGCCTTGCTGCATACCCGACCCGGAGGAATAACACGGAGCCAACGGTTTCAACAACAAGAAACTACATTTAATGGGACATGGACGAGACGATTAACATGGTTACCAGCGGCGCCTGAGTCCAGGCAGCGACTCCCCGTGCGCCGCCTCTGATCTGCCTTATCAAGGCGGCGCATCCGATGTGCGCGTGGCTGGCGTGACGTCGCCGCCACGCGGGAAAAGTTCGGCTTGAGCCTCGCAGTCGGGCAACTTGGCTTGGGAGCCGCCAGGGTGCCCACACTTCCCCCCCCTCAAGCTTCGTCCGGCATGTCGATGACGGAGACTTTGTGGGCGTCAGGGGGTGGATGGCGCTGTTGGGCGGACTGACGTTTAAGTCCGGCCGGCGCCTGCTGGACGAGCGCGGCGGCTGCTGACGAGCGCGGCGGCTCGGTCAGCTCCAGCTTGTCGCTTGTTCGGGATCAGGGCTCCACCAGGTGGCTGCTTTGCCCGTGGTCCTGTAGAGGGTGGCCGCGGTCCACGATGAGACCGGCCGCCTTGTCGTTCAGATGGGGGGTGTGGCGACGGTTTTGTCCATGAGTCAGCTTCGTAGAAAACATGGAAGCAGACGACATGGGACTCAGTTGAGGGCTGAGCCTGACGTTATTTTCGGACCCCTTCCAGAAAGTTTGAAATAACGGATCTGAGGTGGGCACACAATCTTCTCCCCCCTCTCTTGAAAAAGGGGCAGATCCGTGGAAGTAGAAAACTACCCCCAAAATGCGAAAGAGGCCAAGGAGACAAAAAAAAAGTTCCTCTCTCTTTGGTGTCACCGACGTCGCAGGTTATACCGCCGCCTTGGTGGAGACAAGGGGGTTTCCGGAACGGGACTGCCGTCAGTGTCGTTCCGGTCCTGCGAGGAATCTTCGTCTTCAGCTTGGAAAAATCGTTTAAGGTCGGTGACATGAACAGGTCCGGTTTCCTCACTAGACTCACAGTTAACTAGTTTGTAAGTGAGTGGCGAGCACTTTTCACGCACGCGAAACGGACCTTCCCACCTGTTGGCGAGGGAGGCTGCGAAGCCTCGAGCGGCGTCACTCAGTGGGTGAGTACGCCGGAGTACAAAATCTCCCACCTCGAACTGCAAGTCACGTCGCCCCCGGTTGTACTGCTCAGCCTGCTGTACCCGGGCGACGTCGAGATTTTCTCTGGCCTCTCGAAGGTTATCGGAGAAGCGCTTTCGCAGGTCCTCTGCGAACTTCACGTAGGGGCGAGGCCTTCCTCCAGACTCTGTAGAAAGGAGGCTGTTAGAAAGCGGGAATGCGAGCTCCTTGCCGAAATTTAATTGGGCAGGAGTGAGACCCGTTGACCGATTAGTGGTTGTACGGGTCGCGAATGCCAGCTCGGGCAGTTTCGCGTCCCAGTCCTTGTGGCGCTCTGTGTAGGCCACTAGCATCATCTTAAGGTTTCGATTTACCCTTTCCGTGATGTTTGCTTGCGGGTGGTACGGGGAAGTTCTTTTGTGTTTGATTCCCAGTACCGCGCATGCGTCCACAAACACCTTACTCGTGAAATAGGAGGCATTATCGCTTACAAGCTGTGCAGGAAAGCCAAACCTAGCGAATGTTTCGAGTAGACACTCCCAGATTTTTTGCGAATCTAGCTTCCGCAATGGAAATAACTCAACCCACTTCGTGAAGTGGTCGGTTACCACGAACAAGTACTGATTGCCCCGGGTACTACGTGGGAAGGGGCCCATGACGTCACAGCAACAAATCTGCCAAGGGCTCTGACTCGCGATTGGTTGCATGAGACCGGGGGGCTGGCCACCACGTGGTTTTGCCTTCTGGCACACCGAGCAGCTACGAGCGTATCGGAGCACATCCTGCCTCATGCCTGGCCAGGTAGCAATTTGGGATAACTTTTCGTAGGTCTTGCTCCCACTGCTGTGTCCTGCCAAGGCAGAGTCATGCATGTATCGGATGAAAAGCTTACGTAGCTTGCGGGGTATCACGGTCCGGAATGCCGAGCCATCCGGATCGTCGTCGGCCTGGGGGATGTAGCGCAGCAGGAGGCCGTCGTCGCTCATCAAGTAGGAGTCGAACTCCTCGTCACTTGGGCGGTCGACTGGACCTCTTGCTGCCAGCCAAGCGGACACGCGTTGGCAGAGTCCGTCATCCAGCTGCGCCTTGCGAAGCTCCTCGCGGCTCACCAATGTACCCCACCGTGAATCTGGGGATCCTCGTGTCGTGGCCGCGACGGTCACCAAGCCATGGGTATCCTGCGAGTGTTCCTCAGGAAGTGGAGCACGAGAAAGCGCATCAGCAACTTTGTTAGTTGACCCCGGGCGGTACACAATGGAGTAGTCGTACTGTTGTAGCGTAAGCGCCCAACGAGCAAGACGTCCAGCTGGATTCTTAAGTCCCCTTAGCCATGATAGCGCTAAGTGATCAGATTGAATCTGGAACGTTGCGCCATCTAGGTACATATCGAAGCGCTTCAAAGCATGAATAATGGCGAGACATTCTCGTTCTGCGACACTGTAGTTGCGCTCGGCTGAAGTTAGCGTGTGGCTCGTGAAAGCAACTGGCCGAAGCACACCGCCATACTCCTGCAGCAATACAGCACCCAGGCCACAGTCGCTTGCATCTGTCTGCAGAACGAACGGCTTGTTCAAGTCTGGGAGCTGTAAACAAGCGTTGTCAGTCACGGCTTTTGAAAGGGCTGCGAATGCGCATTGTTGTTGTTCGGCCCAA